AGAGACATACAAGATGATCAGAGGATTAGATAGGGTGGACAGTGGGACCTTTTTCCTCGGATGGTGATGGCTAGCACGAGGGGACATAGCTTTAAATTGAAGGGTGATAGATATAGGACAGATGTCAGAGGTAGGTTCTTTACTCAGAGAGTAGTAAGGGCGTGGAATGCCCTGCCTGCAAAAATAGTAGACTCGCCCACTTTAAGGGCATTTAAATGGTCATTGGATAAACATATGGATGATAATGGAATAGTTTAGGTTAGATGGGCTTCAGGTCGGTTTCACAGGTCGGCGCAACATCGAGGGCCGAAGGGCCTGTACTGCGCTGTAATGTTCTATGTTCTATGTTCTATGAGAAAACCTTGGCAGATAGAATCAAGGAAAATTCCAAGGCTTTTTACACGTGCGTGAGGAATAAGAGAATGACCAGAGAAAGGGTAGGGCCGATCAAGGATTGTAAAGGGAATTTGTGCACGGAAGCTAAAGAGATAGGAGAGGTCCTTTATTGAATACTTTTCTTTGGTATTCACAACTAAGCGGGACTCAATTGTAGAAGAGGACAGTGTGAAACAGGCTGGTAGGCTAGAGGAGGTCGATGTTAGTAAGGAAGATGTACTAGGAATTTTGAGGAACTTGATGATAGATAAGTCCCCCGGGCCTGATAGGATTTGTCCAAGGATTCTATGGGAAGCGAGGGAAGAGATCACAGGACCTTTGGCGATGACCTTTTCGTCCTCACTGTCCAGGGGTATAGTGCCGGAAGATTGGAGAGAAGCAAACATCACTCCCTTGTTCAAAAAAGGGAATAGGGATAACCCTGGAAATTACAGGCCAGTTAGTCTTACATCAGTGGTGGGCCAATTATTGGAAAGGGCTCTGAGAGGTAGGATTTATGATCACTTGGAAAGGCACAGTTTGATTCGTGATAGTCAGCATGGATTTGTGAGGGGTAGATCATGCCTCACAAACCTTATTGAATTCTTTGAAGAGGTGACCAAACATGTGGATGAAGGTAGAGCAGTGGATGTGGTATACATGGATTTAAGTAAGGCATTTGATAAGGTTCCCCATGGTCGGCTCATACAGAAGGTAAGGAGGCATGGGATAGGGGGAAATGGGGCAGATTGGATTCAGAATTGGCTGACCCTTAAAAGACACAGCATGGTCGTGGACTGAAAATGTTCAACATGGTGCTCAGTTACGAGTGGTGTACCACAAGGATCTGTTCTGGGTCCTCTTCTATTTGTGATTTTTGTAAATGATTTGGATGAAGGAGTGAAAGAGTGGATTAGTAAGTTCGCAGACGATAGGAAGGTGGGTCGCATTGTGGACAGTGCGGAGGGCTGTTCTAGGTTACAAAGGGACGTTGATAGGATGCAGAGTTGGACTGAGAAGTGGCGGATGGAGTTTAACCCTGAAAAGTGTGAGGTGATTCATTTTGGAAGGACAAACTTGAAAGCAGAATACAGGGTTAATGGAAAGATTCTTGGCAGTGTGGAGGAGCAGAGGGATCTTGGGGTTCATGTCCACAGTTCCCTGAAAGCTGCCACCCAGGTGAATAGAGTTGTTAAGAAGGTGTATGGTGTGTTAGCTTTCATTAATAGAGGGATTGAGTTCGAGAGCCGTGCAGTTATGCTCCAGCTAACAAAAGCCTGGTTCGGCCAAAGCTGGAGTATTGTGTCCAGTTCTGGTCGCCTCATTACAGGAAAGATGTAGAAGCATTCGAAAAGGTGCAGAGGAGATTTACCAGGATGTTGCCTGGAATGGAGGACAGGTCTTACGAGGAAAGGTTGAGAGAGCTCGGGCTTTTTTTAGAACGACGAAGGATGAGAGGTGACTTGATAGAGGTGTACAAAATGATCAGAGGTATAGATAGACAGCCAGAGACTTTTTCCTAGGGTGGAGGTAGCTATTGCAAGGGGGCATAGTTTTAAAGTGAGTGGAGGTAGATATAGGGGAGACGTCAGAGATAGGCTCTTTACTCAGAGAGTGGTCGGGGCATGGAATGCGTTGCCGGAGGTAGTGGAGTCGGCCTCATTAGGGGCATTTATGCGGCTATTAGGTAGGCATATGAATGATAGTATAAGGTAGGGTTGGAGGTTAGATAGACCTTAGGATTAGGGTAAAAGTTCGGCACAACATTGTGTGCCGAAGGGCCTGTACTGTTTACTGTTCTATGTTCTATGTTCAACACAGACAGTTGCCCGAGGGTGCAATTGAACCTGAGTCCCTGGCTTCTCTAAATTTTTTATGCTGTGCTTTTTCTCACTTGGTTTTGGCCCTGTAGTGAGATTTTATGGATAGGCCAGAAAAACATTTGAAAATACAGCTAATTCAAGCTGATATATTGGGGGTTAGAAAGGGAGGTTGTTTAAAAGACAAAAAAGTAGCTCAGAATCTGTTATGGCGTACTAGCTTAGAGAAAAAGTTATTTGTCTATGCCGATGAAAATTTACCGTTGTGAGGACAGCTTTAAATGTTGCATGGTGATAAGGTTGGACTTGTGACAATTCTGACGGCTACTATTCTGCACTTAATAATATAACAACATAAAGAAAAGCAGGTGTCAGCCAGTCAGCTGTTTGAGTGCAAGATAAAACAAAGAACTGTGGATGCTGGGCATCTGAAACAAGTAAAAATAGAAATTGCTGGAGAAACTCAGCATGTGTGGAGAGAAAAGCAGAACAGTTCTGAAGAAGGGTCACCAAAATCCAAATATTAACTCTGGTTTTTCTCTCCACAGAGCTGTTGTTGAATGCTGCTCAACCTCCTACAAGAGTATTGAGTGTAGATGCTGTTCTTTTTTCAGTGTGCAATTTTAGATGTAAAAGTCCATGAGTATTTTCTGCATTTCATAAGCGAGTTGGTTAGAAATAATATAAGTCGTCAGAGTTTCTAGTTTCCTGCAGTTCATTTCATTTCGCAGGTCTTAGAGGACTTATACGCTGGTCGGCAAGAACTGAAACTGGTAACATGCAGGGGTTGTTGAAGCTGAGCCAGCTAAAGCCATGCAGTTCAGCACAGCCAGGAAGGGAGAATGGTTTGGCTGCGCTACTGTTTGACTGCTGAGTGATTGTGACAGCTAGAGCACAGGCCTCCCTGCCCGCATTGGTCTGGACTGTCAGCTTACTTGTTTTGCCAGTGTTTAAAATTAAAAGTTTTTAGAATGGTGCTCACCTTCTGTTTCCTAATGATCATGTCTTTTGAATTTCAGTTCAAAAATAACAAACAGGCAAATTATTCAAACAGCTTCGATCGCCTACTTAAAGAGAAGCAGCAGTCTGAGGGGTGAGTTTACTAATCCTGGCTACTCTTGCATTTTTAACATTCGCTCTATTTACAACGCAACTGAAGTTTAAAAACCTTTATGAAGCCCAACTTTTTGAGCTCTGGATCCATTTTGTTTTCATTTGCGAAGTGCCTTGGCGGTGATTTTTAATTATATAATTGAAATAAATTCCAATTGTTTATTGTCATGTTTTAAGATCCTTGCTCACCTTATTTGGACCAGAAGCCTGATTGTTGTATCTGTACCATCACTGCCACCCTTGTGTAATGTGCTATAAGAGTCTCGGTTACTTAGTTGCTCTCAACCACCTTCCCCCTCAAAAAGACCTGACGAGGTAAGATGCATTGAGGAAGAGTGTGATGATATGAGGAGCAGCCTGCACTAATGTGTATTGTGAGCCTCTTCTAGCCAGAGCTCGTAAATTACAGGACCAGCGAAAACTTGACATGAAATGATCAGGACAGTTTTGGAATGCAATTCTGTGAAAACTTAATTTTGTCAGTGATTTGGTGATCTTTGAATATTTTGTATACATTTTGCTGGAGGTATAGTTATGAACCTTTTGATTTTGGTAAGCTGTGAACTTCAAAAACTAACCTAACAAATTAATTTGGACCTGTAAGAATGTGCCTTTTGGCAGAAAGCTAATTAATCACTTTGCACTTCCTTAGTCTGGGGGAAACACTCAAGGACCTGAAGAAAAAATTGCAAGAGGAACTTATTGAGGTGCCGGACCTCCACTCTCTGTCTGAGGAAGATGAAGAACAGGTAACGGATGAAGACATGGATCAAATTGCGGAGGAGCAAAGGTTGGTGACTAATAATAGAAGTTCCAGTGATATATATAGAGAGAGCAACTTAGGGAATGTAATCCTGAATTCTTGAGAAGAGTTGAGGCCTGCAGGTAAAGATTATATATCAGTTGTGGTGTTCCATGCATTCCCAACCATCTCCATTCTCACTGAGATTGCAAAAACTTCACTTCTCGGCTGCC